GGATTTCGAGCTTTAGCGGTAACATATATACTTTTTAGATGTTATCAATACAAAAGTCAAATTCCAAAATTTCTGATAGTGCTAATGCTATCCTATGTACATTTGCCGAACTAACTCAATTATGAAAAACAGCTACGGTCAGAAATAAGTCTACTAATAATATTGATACAGAACATTATTATTTTGAATAAATATTGATGTACTACATATTTCATACATAAAAATACAAATTTTATAGCTATATTGCAGTTTTTAATTTTTTTCATTTTATCTTTATCTCTAAAACATGTCCAAATAATCTTAAAGTAAAATACAGAAAAACAAAGTACACACACATCAAAATTGAGTAATGTACAGATAAATGTTCATAATATCAGACACTCTTTTTACTTTTTACCTAGCTGTAGTTGATCGTTTTTTATTTTTAGTAGAGAATACTGTAAAATTGCTGAAATCAGTCAGCAGAAGGTAAGGAACTAGGTCAACTGGACTAGCAGCGTAAGCGTTAAAATGTTTTACAAAAACATTTAGGAAAAAAATAATTTGATGTCAACAATCATTTGTCTTCATTTCTCTCAGTTTAATTTTTATATGAAAACAAATACAACATTTATTTAAAGATTGAATAAATAAAAAAACAAATATTGAAATAATTTTAGTTCTAATATTTCAATGTATTTAATTTCTAAAATGTTTATTATCTCAATATTATTTTGTGTCATTTAAATGATGGTTTATATGTTTAACAACTAAAGTACAAAGACCAGTCAGAAAGTTTTGCCCTATATTTTTTATTTTAGCAACAGATGATCGGAAAGAGCTGAAATTTGGCATATGTTTAAATTTAAACTTTTATATTCTTTGGACAATAAAGTTTCATTAGATTCTGCCAGATGGTGTGGATATAATCGGTTTTCAAAATGGTCTCTGCTAGTCAAGTGTGTCACAAACAAAACTGAGTTGTCATCAAATCCCTAACACCTGAAGGGAAAACAGTGGTGAATATTCGTAAATGTTTAAATGAATGTTTACAGAAACCACACCATCAATAGAAGTACAATTGGATGCTGGGCAAAATATATGAGATAGGCACAAAGAAGAAACACCAGCCTGAGTGGTAAATCACATAGTGGTGCCCTAGCAAGTAAAAGTATGCTGATGAAGTCATTCAGAACTGGATTGATGTGTCGCTTATAGAGGCTTATCATAGCAGTTTGGAATTACTGAAGGAAGTGTGAATGTGATAATTCAGTAATTAAGATACTTATAAGATATATATAAAAGTTTTCTCACAGTTGTTTCCACACCAGCTGACACCAGAACACAAAAACCAGAGGAAGAACATTGCTATTGAGTTTCTGAATCTATAATATGAATGGAAATGACTTCCTTTCAAAAACTGTGATAATTTTGTTCAAAATTATAGAAAATGGAACAAGAATAAATTCTGAGATGTATATGGCTACCTGGTTAAGACTTCAGAGGCACATGCAGTCAGTTTGATCAGAGCTGAATATGCAAGATTTCCTTCTTTTCCATGATAATTTAAGGCTGCCCAGTTTGCAAACAAGAGAAACCATCACAAAACTTGGACTGTGTTGCCCCATCTACATGCAGTTTTGATTTGTCTCCATTGAACTTTCATCTGTTTAGTCCAATGAAGGACAAAAGTTTAATGATGATGACAGAGTTATCAAAGAGTAAAGATATGGTTCCAATAAACCTCAACAAGACTTTTCTCAAAAGTAATACAAACCCTTGCTTCTAGATGAAGGAAAGCTGTATAACCCAATGGAGTCTAAGCAGAAAAATAGTACTGTAAATAATATATGCAACTATTCATATGCTAAATTTCAGCCCTTTCTGATTATTTATGGCAGAAATAAAAAAATTGAGGATAATATATATATTTTATATTTTATTTTTTATATTGATATAAAGTGTGCTTGAAGAGATAATGATAAATTGTATACTTTCTGGAAAAATGAACAGAGAATTTTATTATAATTTTTCTAAATTTTCTCAGAAGCTAAAAACTAAAAATATCTGTCTTGTAGCACCTGTGACAATGCCGAAGCGCCCCCTATGCTTTGGCACCACAGGACTGAGGGGTCAACATTGCGTCGGCAAAGACTGCAATGACAAATTTGTCAGGACTGATATCACTGTGTCTTCTGGGTAGACACAGAGACCGTTACGTTCACATTTACGTTGCGAGCAGTTGTGTCTGTGTGTGGTTGGACTCGGGATGGAGACCAATTGGGCTAAAGAAGTGCACTTTACAATTCAATTATAGAAAGTAATACCCGTTTATTGATTATACAGGCCTAAGCTAGTTACACTTATGCTTTAAGAGAGAGAGAGAGTTTACAATTGTTTGCATGTGGTATTTACCTGAAGATCTCTCTCTTGATTGAGTCCTTTTTCGGTGGGCACCTGGCTCATCGGCTATCGGCGATTAAGCTTCTAATTGGTGGCGAAGTGTATCCGAGTGTACACACACGACCAACCTTCGAGGACAGATGAACTCTTCTGTCAGGCAAACTCCCTGTTGCGTCATCAGACCTTCTCCTTTATTTGGGGGTCCTCCACCTCGCAATTCTTGTCCTTTTTTGGTAAAATTGTTCTTCACGTCCAATGGCGATTTTCGCATTTGATTCCTAGTGACACGTTCAATGTGTCACTCCCAAACAGGGAAGCAAGTCCTTGGGAAAGGATATAATCATGTCCGTAGCAATCCCTTTTTTTTTTTTTTTTTTCGAACAAAATTTTTGAATAAAATTTTCCTTTCAAGTCTGGCCTCTCACACACCTTATCTATTTCAATCAAGAATGCAGATAGTTTCCTAACAGTGCATTACATAAACAATAGTTTGGTTAGTGCCAGGCTTGGACTTTATATGGGCAATAAGTAACAAAAAATTGTAAATGAATCAAAAACCCAAAATAATTACTATATTAATAAAAAAATCTATTTATTCTTCTAATTCCAATTACAGTAGAGCGTTGATTATCTGAATCAATTGGGGACTGGGGTTGTTCGGAAAATTGATATTTCAGATAATCGATTATGTACGAAAAAATATATTAACCTATCCCATGTTGAAATTTTTCCCTGTTGTGTGTCGCTTCGCGTTGAATTTTCGTCAATGTTAAGCCTAATGAAGACTATTGTATTGTTAAAAATTATTTTTTTATTTTGTACAAACAAAATAAATATATTGAAAAATATAAAAAACAATAAAAAATTATACTTCAGAAGTTAATTTAGTATCAAAAACGTAAAATATTTGAGTAGCCCAAGACATAGCCAAAGATTGCAGTGCCACAGCACTGGCGAAAATTTAAATTTGCCGACTGGAATTCTTTCGGATAATTGATGTTTTGGATAATTGACTTTCAGAAAATCGACACTCTACTGTAGGTACAATAACAAAATGAAGTTAGCAAAAATTCAAATTTATTAAAAAGATATTTTATCAAATCCAAAAAACACCTATATATATATGTATACAAGAAACTTTTCCCAACACTTAGTTATAATTTAATTATATCTTAGAATTATCTCCACAAAACTAACAAACAAAATTATGAAGTTACAATTTCATGATGAACTCAGGATATTTTTCTTCTAATTATCAATTAGAGATTCAGACTATGTACAAAAAATTATTTAATTAATTTTTGAGTCTATCAATTAATCCTTTTTTCATACACCATAGAAGTACCCTTTTACATTGGTTTGAAGAAATCACTTCATAAAAACGAATAACAATAGGTAAAATTTACAATTAAAAATGATCAGACGTCAGCCTTTCATTTTAGGTATCTGACGCCTTAACATAAAAAAATTAAGTAAATCTTCTCACCAACTGCCAAGTTTTATACCATCTGTATCAGGTTCAAACCCTCTAGTGGTGGATACGAGTTATCTTTGATTTGCATGTAGTTACAATTTCATGATGAACTCAGGATATTTTTCTTCTAATTATCAATTAGATATTCAGACTATGTACAAAAAATTATTTAATTAATTTTTGAGTCTAATAATTAATCCTTTTTTCATGCACCATAGAAGTACCCTTTTACATTGTACATAGTCTGAATCTCTAATTGATAATTAGAACAAAATTATGAAATTGAAATCTATCAAAAATTCACAAAGAAATCTTACAACTTAAATTTGCCTAACCATCACCAAGAAACTTCTATGTCATCAGTGGAACTTGAAAGCCTTGCTTTAATCTTGCTTGATCCTTAGCATCACCTCATTTGATCTTGAGCTTCACATTCTTATAGTGTGATTAGTGACATTACATGATTACGCCTACTCGACCCTATTTTACATACATAAGTGGCTAACATTTGTTTAATTCTAGTAATCTCTTTTTAAGTCATGTCATTGTCCTTACATTTAATCTTTCATAATTTTTCATTGTGCCTTTTTGTGACAATTTAAGATGGGAGATCAATCTTTTAATTTCCTGTGAAATTCTCTCCCTGAGATGTCATTTCTAGGTTTGATGACGTAATTGGTTTCCACCAGCAGTCATCATAGAAAAGTAAATTTTAGTTTTAAAATTTTGCCTGGGTGAGGTATGGTAGTCTATCTTTAATGAAATAAAATACTCCTAAATAAATAGAATAATGAACTAAAAGTAATCTCCAAACAAAAATAAAATGGTTCAGAATTGACTCCTTACAGTCTTACTGTGTAAACTTAAAAGCAAAATCTTATTATTTGCAATAATTTTAAGATAAATTCTAATTAGTTGAAAATGTAAAATGATCTTTAAAATTAACCAAAATCCTATTAAGCTTTATTGTAGGAATCAAATAATTTTCTAACTAAGCACTTTTGAGAAATATTCTTCTATCCTCAGAATTGTCTCATTCTTAAATGGAAGTTGTATCTACAGTAAAATTTAACAGAATTTTAATATAAATAAATTTTAATCTCACTTCAACTAAAAATATAATTGAGTAATATGATAAGATGAAAATATTAATTTATAAATTTATTTTCAGTTAATGACAAAGATATTACAGAATCTCAAATCTGTTCACTGGAGTAATGAAACTAGTGATGGGCCTGCTAGAATTCAGTTAAAAGAAAATTGGAATAATCTTTTAGAAATTATATCTTTTATGGAGGTTAATCATAATTACATTTACTAAGTTTTTGAAATTTTAGAAAAAATCAATTTATTTAATTAAATTTTATAATTTTTACAGAATATTGGAAGTCATATTTTTAAAGAATTAAATCAGAAAGCTTATTCATTTGGACTGCAAACATTTGAAGAATTAATGCCTGCAAGAAGTTATTGGAAAAAATCAAAAATTGGTAATATTTTGTTATAAAATATATATTATATATATAATGTTAAAATCTAGTTAATAAAAAGTCACCAAAAACATTATACTTTAATTTTTAATAAAGCCATATAAATTAAAAGCACTTTTACTTAAACTAACTAGGCTTCTTTAACAAACAACTTACAAAAATGAAAAACTGTATTTCATCAGAGTCTAATTAAATGTTAATTGTTAATTGAAAAAGCCTAGTTTAGGGTGACAATGTAATGTTTTAGAGTCTGAATGCCAAAATAGGAATATTTATGCATGATAAAGCTTTAGATTTTAGAAAACTAATTTTAAAGAATTGTAATATAATTATATACTTAGAATAAATTTTTTAAAAATGACTGAAAAAAGTGATGACGACAAACAATCCATTGGATTTTTTATTGGATTATATTTACACTAATTAATGATTCAAAACAAAGTTATTTGGCTGGAGATGGGAAGTTATGTCTAAATCTCTGGATAGTAATGGATGATGATAAACCAAGCTGAATATAAAATTACAAAAAAAAAACTGAAATTAATGTATTAGATAAATTAAAAGTATGTGATTTAATTTCAAAGCCATTTTATGACATCTGACAACTGCTACTTAACAACTGGTTATTATTATATAAAAATCAACACAACAAACTTCTAAAATACCAGCAAGAATACTAAACATGAAGTGCGAATGTCCGTTTAACATGGATGAAAATGTTCGCACTTCATGTTTAATATTCTTGCTGGTATTTTAGGTGTTTGTTGTGTTGATTATTACATTTTATGATATTTACATCATCAGAATAATTTAATCAAATTGATTTTGAAATCTTTCATATTGAAGAGTGATGATAATAGAATACTAAAATAGTTGTAGTATGCTATTATTTATAGTTAATAATCAATATTATGAATATTATGTAAAAAAAATAAACAAAATCATTTGATATTCCAGATGATTATTCTAACAAGATACAGACCATTCCGGACCTAGTTAGTTTAAGCAAAAGTGCTTTTTATTTAATATATTTTTATTTAAAATGTTTTACCATTTAATATTACAACAGTGGGAATTAGTGACTTTTTAGTTAATTAGTTTATGGAAACATATAGGCACATTTTTAAATAATTTTTCTTCATAAAATCTAATGTTTTTGAATAACAATTATAGATAACAATGGAAGTACATACATTCAAGAATGTGTGAAGAATGTTTTAGAAAATGGAATATCAACTTTATCACATTTACCATGTAAATATCAGATTATTTCAGGAACAGCTATCATGGAAGGTTTTTCAAAAGCCTGGCTTGACTACATCTGGAATAAAAAAATTAAATTCAGGTAATTTTATAAAATATTTATCATTTTTATTATTTATTTATATATAAAATACAAATTGCTGCCATTTTAAATTTAGTCAATCTGGAGGAATGCAGTTATGTAAAGATGTTGATTATGTTATAAATTGGTTGAATCAGTTTTCATTAAGTTCTGAAGTTAAACAGAAAATATTAACAGTTGACCATATTAGAAAATTGACTGCAGTTTCTCGAATTCTTGGTACTTCTCATCCCAGATTACGCCGGGTGAGTTTATCAAGAAACAGAGTATCTCCTATTGTTACTAATGGTATGTATTTTTGACAATAATGACAATTATATTAAATATAGATGCTATAAATTTAATATGTCACAATTACAGTTCCTTCAAGAAAGAAAAAAGGAGATAATACACAACAGTTTAATTGTGATCCTGATATTGAAGACAAAGAGATTGAAGAATGGCAAAATTTAGTAGTAGCAGATCACTATTTTCTTCCTTCTTGCTTTTGTTGTTTTAATTGACTATCAATAACGAAGTAAGAAGAGTAAGAAATCATTTCACTAAAATAGTTTATCATCATATGATTTTAATATTTATTTTTATATCAAGTTATTAATCAATTAAAAAATGCTGGAATTTCTAGTCTGTTGTTACATTTGTGAAAAAAATGTGATATTTTTATATTATTGACATATTTATTCAGTACAAGAAAACATCAAGATACCAAACATTTTATTGTAAATATTGTTATAATTTTTATATGCTAGTGTTATTTAATTTAGTAAAATATGAATTCTTCAATATTATTAGTGCTATTATATTTTATTTAAATAGAAGTACAGTAATCATTACCTTATGTGAATACTACTATTCACATAAGTTAACGATCTATTAAAAATTATTATATTATTATATTCACTATAAAACTAGCTTTACATGATAAATAGATTTCATATTATAACAAATTAAAGAAATTTGCTATTTAAAATAAAAAGTGTATAGTTTTCACAATAAATACTTGTTTCAAAAGTTTTATCAAGCAAAATGAATGAAGCTTAATCAATCATTGCACTTCTTCATACTAATAATGTCTAAATTTTAATATCTGCGGCTCAATGCAAAGTTAAAAAACTAAACCACCAGCTGTATTTAAAGATGTATATCCTGAAGACTTGCCCTTCAGGATATACATTTATCTTACAATTTGTGCCCTCATTGTTTTATTTAATGATTTTCTGTGCTTAGACAGATGTAAAGATTTATCTGGCTATTATGGATATCAGAAGAAAGAGAGAAAAATATTTTAATTTGTATCTTGGATTTTCAGGTGACAATTTTTTAAATAGTTTTGATATGAAGTTCAAATAACTAGTTTTTTCTTTTTATTCTTCACCCTATGGGTACTAAGGGGGGCCCTGTGGGCACTCCATACTCATCATAGATTTAGCCAGTGCAGGTAATCAGGTGATGAGAAATGAGGAATCCAACACAGACCACCTATGAAAGATTCCTGGATTCCTTGCCCAGATTTCATCCTGGATACCAGGTGAGTCTGTAAGACACTAGCCATACAGCTGGTGCCTCACCTGTACAGACTCACCTGGCCATCTGGCCACCAAACCACTATATTAAAGGATATGTTTATACCATATCCTTTAATATCATGTTCTGTAGAAATGTATTCCAGTTTTTTTTTAATTTGAAATTAATAGGAATTGAATTCTTACATGTTTAAAATAATTAGGAATTTTACATGCAATTCTCCTTTAAAAATTACAGTAAGAATGACATCTGAATGTTGATAAAAGCATTTTAATCAAAATTTAATAAAAATAAAAAAATAAACTCTTGATTTATTTTTAACAATTTGCTTCCATTTGATTTATTTGGAATATATAATTACAAGCAAATATAGATTGAAAGTTTTACAGTAGCATCCATCTACAAAAGCAAACAAAACGAAAGGAAAAAATCCTGAGTAATGCTGAAGATAATGTTAGCCCAAAAACTTGTTTACTTGTAATTATTTACTCCAAATAAAACAAGTTAGAGTTATTTTAAAATATATTTAGAGTACAATCTTAAAAAGAATCTAAGCACTGTTAATAAATTACCTGAAGTGAATATTTCAAAATAATCTAACTTATAATTACTGTAAATTAAATTGTTTACACTAGTTTGATGGAAATAAATTAATATAAACAAACATCAAATCTAATCTGACAGAAAAATTTCATGATTCATTACAGCAATATCTAATAAATTGCATCCCATTGGATCATAACTTATTTCCATACAAAAACAACACTTGTAAGAATTGTATTCACCAATTAGAACAGTATTTCCGAAATTAGTTGATGATCTCATTTCTAGCTTTTCAAAAAAATCATAAAAAGCACAACTCTTACAAAATAATGTGATTTAAAGTTGGGAAATATTGATCTAAAATTGATCAAAGGCAATGAAAAGAAGTTATGCTTATATTTAATTTTATTTTGTTATATTTATAATTCCATTTTATAAATTTTTGTAAATTCATAATGAGAAAAATCTTTGTAAATTGTGATATTTAGACCCTCATCATTTAGGTTATGATTTACATGATCATTTTAATATCAGTTATAACAGTCATGATTGTAACAAAGATATGATCCGTCCAATAAAATATTACGAGTTATAATTTTAAGCAAATACTGTGTTTAGAAAAGTAGAATTAATATAATAAAGTAAATTAGAATGGAATATTGTGGAATCAACAAAGTTGATTCCACAATTTTCCATTCTAAATTGTACTTTCCGAACTAGATTTGACATTTTTTGATATTGGAAAACATTTGAAAATAATCAATTTTTAAAAATTTTAGTAGTAAATGATAGAATGTATCTTTAAAAAGAATTGTACTACAGTAGGACCTCGAAAACTCGGCTCTCGATAACCCGGCACTCCGGATAACTCGGCCACACCCTGGCAGGGCAAAAAAATCCTTAGTTAATTAATTTTCATTATAGACAGCTTTATAAAAGTATAAAAGCTCTCATAAAGTATTTTTCTGAGGTCTGTCANTCTTCTGGGTTGACACAGAGACCGTTACGTTCACATTTACGTTGCGAGCAGTTGTGTCTGTGTGTGGTTGGACTCGGGATGGAGACCAATTGGGCTAAAGAAGTGCACTTTACAATTCAATTATAGAAAGTAATACCCGTTTATTGATTATACAGGCCTAAGCTAGTTACACTTATGCTTTAAGAGAGAGAGAGAGTTTACAATTGTTTGCATGTGGTATTTACCTGAAGATCTCTCTCTTGATTGAGTCCTTTTTCGGTGGGCACCTGGCTCATCGGCTATCGGCGATTAAGCTTCTAATTGGTGGCGAAGTGTATCCGAGTGTACACACACGACCAACCTTCGAGGACAGATGAACTCTTCTGTCAGGCAAACTCCCTGTTGCGTCATCAGACCTTCTCCTTTATTTGGGGGTCCTCCACCTCGCAATTCTTGTCCTTTTTTGGTAAAATTGTTCTTCACGTCCAATGGCGATTTTCGCATTTGATTCCTAGTGACACGTTCAATGTGTCACTCCCAAACAGGGAAGCAAGTCCTTGGGAAAGGATATAATCATGTCCGTAGCAATCCCTTTTTTTTTTTTTTTTTTCGAACAAAATTTTTGAATAAAATTTTCCTTTCAAGTCTGGCCTCTCACACAAATATTCGAGTAGAAAGTAACGCGTTTCGACTTATCTCTACTTAAGAAGTAGTCAATTAATTAAGTGATTAGGGAATAGGGAACGTAAACAAAACCCTGATGAAAGAACCGAAATTTTACTTAAACAAAAGCCTAACCGAACCAATCTCTAGCCGAGTACAGTGGTACTGATTTCTTCGAAATATTAGATGTAATAAAGACGGACATTTTTCCAGTTCAACGAGAGTGACCGAAAAGTTGTAAATTTTGGTAGACAACACCTGGTCCTAAAACGAATTAGTTAGAAAACAAAAGACGGACAATCTATTAAGTTTAACATATTTAGACTTTTACAGCTATGGTGAGAAACGTTTAAAATTTACAAGAACCCTGTCGCGTCTTTTGAGATATACTAGTGATGCGAATAAACAGGCATTTGACATTGACCGGTATGGGCACCCTCGGGATTTGGTAGCCCGCGTGCATATACAGAAAACTATCATAAAAACATACAAGTAAATTCTTATCGGTTGGGTTAAGTTATAAATCTACTCGCGATTCGCGTAATCGGGCGAGAGCGGCCAAATATCTAGCGGGCGGGCGGCTAACAGTCCGGAACCGGTCCCGGATAGAATTGGATGCGTTATACGTGTAGCAGCCACCCGAGGTCCTAGGCTTCCACCGGATAAACCGGGTGAGGTTGTTGCTCTGTAAAGCGCGTGCGCGAATCTGGCTTTTTGGATGCTGACAATAGAGCGTTTCCACTCCGCTACTCCGCCACTAATATTCGAATATACAATAGCGATCTTATTTTTTTTTCACGTGTAGTATAGAAATTTGTAAAAAGATATATAATGTGGTTATAATAAAATATTGTGCGATTATTTTCATATAATTAAAATTAATATGTATTTATTTTTTAGAAAATACAAGGGAAGCGGCGCTTCCACCGCTATTAATGACGGTACGCCACTGCTATATTGTCTAATAAAGAATGTAAAAAAAAATAACTTAATTTGCAATTTATATTTGTTGTTTTTGATTATTTTATTATTAAAGTAAATGTACAAAAAAGCTTAAAAAAATACAAAACAGATAAAAGTTACTTCTTGATGTTTAAAAATGTCTCAGCATTAAAATCTTTGATATCACGTAACTTAGTTTAATGTTAAAATTATTGCAAAATTTTCAATTAATGTCAATACACACAAGAGCTAGTGAAATTATAAATAAGTGCCTTTTATCAAGTTTTAGATAAAATGTCTGTAACTATTATATAATGTCTGCCCGCTCTCACGGCAACAACAATACAAAGTTTAGGCTGATCGATCCAAGGTCTTAGATCGATCAACATTTCCGATTTTAGTAGGTTGACGTCATTCAGCTGACCAATCAGCGCGTTGTGCCGTCTGGATATTTAGTCGCACGTGTTGTAAATTTTTCGAGCACGCCAGGAATGCTAGCAATGACGTCACGGGTGCGAAAAGTAAACGCCGTGCTCATTGGTAGCTAACAAAAAGTATTGGGAGGATGATCTATGGAGTAGATCGAAAACGTTAGTTTTTTAATAAAACTCCCTTGGCAAAAAATAAGGTGTTTGTTACTTGAATAACAAAAAGTATACAGCAACCACGTCTTCTACAAAAAGTATACAGACTGAGCACGCTAGGGGCGAGATCGGAGCTAAAAGTAAACGCACCCAGTAGGATCTCGCTCCGCTATACTCTCCATATAAATTGAGAAGAAGAAGAAGGGATCTCGCTCTATCCTAAAACTTGCCTCGGGCTGGCACTGACAAGCGGTATGTATTATCGGTTGATTTAAACAAAATATTAATAAAGATTATTACAGTATGTGCATATATTATAAATAACGTATATTTAGTATATTTTGGCACATTGTTTATGCTGCAACATGATCTAACCGGGAGGGTCGAGTGTCATGGATGTCCGTTTATTTCATTACATTTTATGCATTTTATTATATTTTAAAATTTCATGTATGTTTCGTTTTTACTTATGCTATCTATCATTCATAAAGTGATGAAGGCTTTAAAGGGGGCTGAGTTTTGTTAGACATCCGGAGAGGGGAGGGGAAGTAAAAATTTCAAGAAAAATGCGGACATAATTTATGGACGTCCCCATAGCATTAGAGCTACATACACCTATTTAACTATCAGGCAATAATTGTAAATGAAATGAAATAAAAATTTAATTGATTAGATTATTCATTGAGGTAAAAGGAATTAACGAAAAAATGAGAAAGCAAATACAACATGAGAAGCAGATATGTAAATTATTAAGACTTCTTTAATTAATAGTAAGAAAATAAAACAAGAAGGTAACAAGCAGAAAAGTAATATAGAGTAAAATAATCCTAATTATTAATAGAAGAGTTTAATTTAGTTTACTAAAGTTCACAATTGCATATGAATGGCACTACCTTTAATGAATGAATATACAGTGTGAATGAAACAAATAAAATGGAGGCAGAAATCTATGAGCCATTTAACTGGAGTGCATGGAAATTTCATTTGTGTTAGAATGTTGTTCTTTAAATATTGGTTAGCACTTGTGTTGAATATTTTGTTTGCAAATGAGAGATGATGATAAAGTAGCTCATTATATCAAATAATAAATATCTTGAAATCATCTCTTAAAATACTGACTCTTTTATTTTAAATGCTCCTGAATTTTTTACATCTGCACAAATTGAATATACTGATTTTTCTGTACTAATATTTTAAATGGCAAATAATACATAGAAAAGTCTTTTTTATTCTTGGCTGACATGGCAGCTGTCCAAATACTAGGTCAAGTTAATTTTGATTTCTTCAACATTATCACCACTTCTATTTGTTGATGGTGTAGAAATAGATGTTACAAGATTCCACTAGATTGTGTGTAGCAAATACTTTTATTTGAACATTTGATTTGCTTATTGAAAGATCACTAATACAAGTCATCCTTTAGTAATTCCAACAGGCAGTGTGAGATTTGCGCATGCGTTGCTTGTTGGGAAGTTGGAAATGCTGCGGGAGTATGCTAATGAAAAAAGGCTGGGAACTGCTGTATTAGGGGATTGATGCTATTAAATTTTGGTGGTTAAAGGTTGAGGGGGGTGGGGAGATAATGGGGGTCGTGTATCTCCAGGAGGGTCAGACTTAATCACAGTTTTACTTGTTATTAGCATTTACAATTTTTTATAAAGCCCATTTCTATCATCAAAATTAAGCTTTTTGCCATTTTATAATAGTCTAGTTAAAAGTATAAAAAAGTTTTTTAAATAAAATATGATAACAAATGGCATTAACAAAATTTTAACTATTTAATGTAGAAGACGTGATTGCTGTATCTTCAAATTCTGTGTGTAGCATCTTTGCAATCCAAACAATAATTTTGGTAGATGATCAAACAGCAATTAGTTAGAAAACATTACGGTTTATTTAAAACACTTTTTTAATTCAGATGCGTTTCGGGTTGGCCTGTATTCCCAACCCCTCTTCAGTGCTGTTAAAATTACAAAAAACAAGATGAGTTTCACAACATTGTTAAGTAGGACGTAACAAAAACGCAGGGTGACAATAACATAAAAAAACTTACATGTTATATAATGGTACAGCATAGACTTGTGTGACAATATTTTTATTACATAGTTGTATGACTATTTTCTATAATATGAAGAAAGTAAAGGGCATGGCTGTTTAACACATCATTTACATGAAAATATATAACATAGATTATTAATTTCAAAATATCTATAAACACTTGCATTTTTAGTTAAAATGTATTATTCCCGATAAAAAACGAAACAGAGTAAAAATTGACAACTGGTGTTATCTGGTGTTCACAGAGTAACAGTATACCAACAAGTAATGTTATTTAAACCATTCCTAACATTCCGTACAAAGGGGCGTGCTTTTAAACAATCTTTGACGCGTGGAGGCACTCTCTATTAGTTTATACCATTGGGGGTCTATTGACATGCCTTCTGAAATATTAAGTTATCTTTAGGGTGTTTTTTGATTTCTGTGTGTTCTTTAAATTTCCTTTTATATGGGTCTTTTTCTAAATGTAACACTTTATTGTAACAATCCACGAAAACCTTTTTTTACGAGTGTTATGTCCGTAGTAAATTCCACAAGTACTTTCGACCTCCACCGAGGTCTGCTTCAGGTGGTGACTGGCCGTGACTCGTAAAAAAAGGTTTTCGTGGATTGTTATTATTCAACGCAGTGTTAGGTTGTTGGAAGTAGTTTATCTTTTATATTGTTTTTATTAATTTGG